CAGCAGCGTTTCAGGGAGGCCCTTTCGTAATACACTCTCCAGCAGCTGCAACTTGGAAGAGCAGGTCAGGATCAGCATGGCTGGCCAGGTAGAAGGTGCCCCGCAGGTCCCAGAAAAATGTCTTTTGGTGAGCAAACTTGAAGGGAGCAAAGAGGCAGAATTGCATCAATTGTTTATGAACCAACTTGCCTGCCTGCTGGAGACCAAGAAGATGTGCTCAAAAGGTCTCTGTCAGCGATGCAGATTCTGAACTCAGAAAATGCCTTTGTGGTCAAATAATGGTTGAATGGATCATGAGACATAAAATTATATAGTGTGTGAACTGGAAAGAACTCTGCCCTAGCTTTGATTAAAAAAAGATCATACTCTATGTGAAAGCCTTGCAATATTTATAGCTTAGCTCCTTTAATGTTAATGTTTTCCAGACCCCTCCCCAGTCCAGGAGGTCTTCTCTGAACTCTCTCCCATTTCTCCCTCCTCCTTTTAAAAAAACAGTGTCCAGAACCTCAAGTGCAGCCTTGTCATTGCAGGATATAATGGGATGGTTTTCTTCTATGCGTTGGGCATATTGATTCCTTTTTAGGAGTCCAAACCTCTATTGGCTTGTCTGGGTGTTGCATCCCAGCATTTGCTTATGTCCAGCCAGTTGTCTGTTTGGTCCCCTAGATCAGGGGTGCCCAACCCCTGCTCTGTGGACCGGTACCGAGCCGCAGCATGCCAGCATCCGGTCTGCACAAACAAGCAAAGCCCCATCCGTGGGATGCAGGCAGCACACAAAACCACGCACTCTCTGGTCCACGGAAAAACTTTTCTCCATGGAACTGGTCCCTGGTGCCCAAAAGTTTGGGGACCTCTGCCCTAGATCCTTGTCACAAGCTGTGCTGTTGTGCCAGGCTTTCCCTGTCCTCTGCCCATGTGTTTCATTTTTCCCATCAGAGATAGGACCTTACATTTGTCACTGATTAATAACAATCCTCTTAGATTTGACAGGGTTTCAGCTTTTTTCCCATGTAATATTGAACTGTGACTTTTGTCCTGTGATTCACTATTGAACCACCTCCTAGTTCATGTCCTTAAAAAAAAATCTGACCAATATCTGCCTCCTCTCCTCACCTTGCACCCTCTCAATCATTGATCAATTTGTTAACTAGGGCTGGCTCTGATAATCCACTTGAAATTTCCTTCAATGTTGATGCAGAGGAGAAGGCCGACTTCAATTATGAAGAGATTCAGAGCGCGGATGACATCATTACTGCTTGGCAGTAATGCAGTAAATCAATCTTTTATTCCTGAAAAGTGAATCATTAATAAGATAGTACCTTTGTCCTCTGTACTGGAGGCCTGGAAAAAAGAATGGGCATAATTGAGCTGGCAAATAATTTTGCCTTGTTTCAATCTGGTTATAAACAAGAGAAAAATAGAGCTCAAACACTTTGGCTTATTTTTCTATGACCAATGTTCACAACCCATCTTTTCACTTAGCTTCTACTGTACAGGTAGTCCTCAACTTACAACTGCGATTGAGTCCAAAATTTATGTTGCCAAGCAAGACATTTGTTTAGTGAGTTTTGCCCCATTTTATAACATTTCCTGCCACAGTTGTTAAACGAATCACTGCAGTTACTAAGTTAGTAACATGGTTGTTAAGTGAAACTGGCTTCTCCCTTGACTTTGCTTGGGAGAAGTTTGCAAAAAGGGTCACCTGACCCCTGGACACTGCAACATCATAAATATGACTCAGTTGTCAAGCAGCTGAATTTTGATCATGTGACCCTGGGGATGCTGCAATGGTCATAAGTATGAAAAACAATCGTAAGTCACTTTTTCCTGTGCTGTTGTAACTTCGAACGATCACTAAATGGATTGTTGTAAGTCAAGGACTATCTGTATTTATTTTTTTTACTATAATGTTTTTCACAAGCCAGAGTGGCGGTGATTGAATAGAAAGACAGAAAGCCATTTTGAATAGCAATGTTTAATAATAAGTAATCATATCTGCTAATGAATTTGGCTCCAATCACTTCTTAGAATATGTGTTATCCAAGATGCACTCCTTAGTTCTCAGATGTTCTTTTTGTACAGAATATATTATGTTTGGAATACAGGTGGTTTGGTCATTCCTTTCACCGTATTTTGGGGATCAAGAAAACCTCTTGGACCAGTTTTCAAGGTTAACCCCCCCCCCCTGTATTTAGGACAAATGTGAATAATTCCTTGTGGTAATGTCTATTTTTCAACTAAAGAAGTTTGATTTAAGTATATTCCCTCAATACATTGCCTTGTGTAGCAGGGGATTTTGGTCTAGGATTACAAAATTTAGTATTTTCCCCATTCATAGTGTGACAAAGAAGTATTATATTAGTTAAATGTGTAAACTACAGAGGAAGCAATTCCAAAGCAACAACTCTTGTCATCATTTTAGCCATTGTTTATCCATTGTAGAATGAAGGTTTCTTCCACATGTTTCCAACCAATACGGCCCTGAGCTTTCCTTTGCCAATTGGGCCCGCAATACTTGAAGATGTCATTGCTCCATCTTGTTTTAGGTCTCTTTTGTGGATGCTTTTTATCAAGTAAGATCCATTCTATGACTGCCATGATCCATCTGCCATCAGTTCTTCTTGCTATGTGATCAGCCCATTTCTATTTCAATTCTTTTACTCTCTTGATGATATAGTTTACTTTCGTTTGTTCTCTAATCCATGTGCGGGTCCTTCTATCTTGTCTTGTGATGCCGAGCATGTATCTTTCCATGGCTCTTTGCACCACTCATAGCTTTTATATTGATTGTGAGGTTAGTGTCCATGTTTTGCTGGCATACGTTAGAACAGGTAGCACACACTGATCGAAAACATTTCTCTTCAGGCATATGACGTTGTTCTTGAAAATTACACTTAACTTATCGAATGCCTGCCAACCACATTTAACATGCCATTCAATTTTCTTTTTTGTATCACCTTCCATTGAGATCCTTTGGCCAAGGTATGTGCAGTGGTCTATTATGCCTAGTTCTTCTCCAGATATATAAAAAACTATAAATTGTGAATTTGTTAAACATAACCTGGCTCTTTTTCAGGTTTATTTTTAAGCCAAACGGTTCTCCTGCTTTGTGCAATTCTTCTATGTGTCTTTGTAACTCTTATGGATCTTGTGAGAAGAGAACATCATCATCTGCAAATCTTAAGTGATTTAAATAGGCGCCATTGATTTTTATTCCATCTTTTATCCAGTCTAATTTGCAAAATACTTCTTCAAGGCAGGCTGAGAAAAGGATAGGTGTTATTGTATCACCTTGTCGTATACCTCATTCTATGTTGATTTCCACTTTAAGATCATTAAGGCAAATTGTCACTATTGTTTTTTTATATTTTGATTGTGGTAAGTTTATGTAAGCAGTGTCTATGCCTTAGTTGAGCAATGCACTGATTATTGCTTGCTGGAATACTAAGTCAAATACCTTTTCGTAGTCAATGAAAGCCATGCACTTCTAATTCTGTTTTAGCAAAAAAAACAAAAAACCTCAGCCATTGGTGAAGAAGGATGAACAAGTCAGAAAAACAATCCATTCTTTCTTATCTCTCTCCTGCAGCTGAATTTGGAAATTAGCCAGAACAAGTCAGTCTCAGAGAGAAATGGCAACAGCAGTGCACATTCTGAGGGTTGGAGCAGAGCTGACATGTACAACATTTGGGCTATCAAATCTAGGTACAAACTCTAGGTGACCACTGGGAACAGCAAAGGCCTTTTTGATATAGATTTGCACCATGCTTCATATGCTGACTGGTGTGTTCACCCACCGCCTAATGTCTAGATTCCTCACAGGAGTGGCCTTTTGAAAAAATGTGGGTCTGATTTTGTTCCCCATGCTCATAGGTCCCCAGGTGGTAGCAACCCCTACTTTATTGTATTTATCTACCAAAAGATGAGCTGCTTAGAAATTACCTTTGGTTGGCTGAGAAGATAATTCTTTTTTAAATGACAGCACTAAGTATCATTTTTAGGAGCTTTGGTGGTGCAGTCATTGGAATGCAGTATTGCAGGCTAACTCTATTCACTGCCAGGAGTTCGATTCTGACCCACTCAAGGTTGACTCATCCTTCCATCCTTCTGAGGTTGGTTAAATGAGGACCCAGATTGTTGGGGGCAATATGCTGACATTGTAAACCACCCACAGAGTTCTGTAAAGCACCACGGGGCAGTATATAAATCTAAGTGCTATTGCTAATTGTCAGATCTGCATATATTTCAAAGAGCCTGCTCTGTAGATCTTAATAACAAAGTCCAGTGTCTTCTTCCCTACCAAAAGACAGGCAGATAACAAGCAAAGACCAGGAAACGAGTCCTGAAGTATTGCATTTTTCAAATGTGACAGTGGGAATAGTATTGACAATGTCAAGAGAGCTTCCTGAAGGTCAGTCCCACTAGAGCAGGGGTGTCAAACTGCCAGCCCACAGGCCAGATACATCATGCCGAAACCGCGCCCACCCCATTGCCGGCAATGGGAAAAAAGTCGCGATACATCGCGACACATCACATGACATTGCGAGTTTGATACCCCTGCACTACAGCCTCTTTCAGGAGTTAACACCTGATGAAACAGGGCCTAAATAGCTATGGACAAATAGAGTTAATTCGGGAAAGGTAGCAGCTGTTGCACTGAATGGATTTGTGTAAGTCATAACATGAAATCCCAGAGAGCAAATAAAGTCAGGGAATATTCCTATATCGTGATCCTGCTCTTTGTGTGGAATGCAATCTCTTATGAAACACAGAAATAAATTTAAAGCCCAAAGCCCGAACTTTATATTGATCCAAAGCAGCTCTTTTTTTTTGTAAGAATTTTATTTTAGTTTGCTCCTCTTCGTGCAGAATGTTATAACCAATATAGCACACCAAGGTATTGATTTTACCTGCTCAGGGGTACAAAGAGGAAAAGAACTGAATCTGGCCAGCAGTTGATACCTTTTCAAAGGGCCTCCAGCAGCTATAGGAAGCCTATGGAGAACTTGGGAATGAGATAGAATTCAAATCCTAAATATTATCTTAAGTCAAAGAACGAGACATTAAAGAATAGGCCTGGCCACCAAACTAACACTGGCTGAAGACAATCAAAGAAATTTCAGAGAAATATTCTTCATAAGCCTGATCCTCCCTGGGGATCTGGGAGGTGTCCAATAGTTATCAAATAGTGTGTAAGTATCTCTCAGAGTTCAGGGAGCAGGTGACAAAAATCTGGTTAAACCAAGGAAAATAGCCTCTCTCCTCACTCTGTTCTGCTAACTGGTGTAATGAGAGCACAGGTAGCTCAGCTCAGATAATTTCTGATATCCTCCCTTTTCCATCGCAGTCTGCATACTGTTATTTGTTAATACAACAAAGCCATATATAGGATAACCAGCATTATAGGCCTGAACAGAAAGAGCCTTAACTGTTATAGCTAAATATCCCTTTCCACGGAATGATGGGAGGGTGTACCCATTTATTTGTGTGCCAAAAAGATTCATCATCACCCAGCTGACAAGGTGACCCTCCTGGTTCAGAATGCCAGCACTGGGGAAATGCTGTATCATTTTGGCCAGATACCTGCGGCTTTGTTCATTGCCGCCATAGGCCCAGTTTTCATTCAGTAGGTCAACATTGGAACTATTCAAGGAGGAAAGTCTGAAGCCGGGCTCAAGCCTGGAAAAGGGGAAAGGCAAAAAGAACAAAATCAAAGAGATGAGAACAGAAAATTAAACTGTTAGTTTATCTATTAAGTCCAGAAGTGGGACACGATGGCCCTTTTATGACTTGCTGGCTCAGGAATTCTGGGAGTTGAAGTCCACAGGTCATAAAGAGGCCATCATTCCCCAGCTTTGATTTAGTCCAACACTGGCCAGCCAGACAAGTGTGAACTGTTCCCAGAAAGGATAGCGGCTTACCCTGATAATTCTGTTTCTATAAAAGTGCAGAATCACAAATTGATTCCATTTTTCTCTATCAAAGTGCAGAATTCTATTACCATGTTGCTTTTTTAAAAAATGCTACCCATGATGACGGGAAAGCATTTCCAGTGTCTCATATATTATAAAGCGATAAAGAATAAGATGCAAATATTCCATTTTTATGAAATGGGAGTTTCAGATAGTCTTTCCCCACTTATAACAGAATAGAATAGTACAGTTGGAAGGGATATTGGAGGTCTTCTAGTCCAGGGGTCTGCAACCTTGACAACTTTAAGACTTGTGGACTTCAGCTCCCAGAATTCCTCAGCCAGCATAGAGGAATTCTGGGAGCTGAAGTCCACAAGTCTTAAATTTGTCAAGGTGGCAGACCCCTGTTCTAGTTTAACCCATGCTCAGGCAGGAGACCCTATACCAGGGGTAGGCAATCTTGGCTCTTTTATGACTCGTGGACTTCAACTTCCAGAATTCCTGAGCCACGAGTCATAAAAGAGCCAAGGTTGTCTATCCCTGCCCTATACCATTTCAGACAAATGTCTATCTTCTTAAAAACTTCCCACGTTGGAACATCCACAAATTCTGACGGCAAGTTGTTCCACTGGTTAATTGTTCTAACTGCCAGGAAACTTCACCATCTACAAATTTAGTACAATACTGTTATTAAGCAATTTTGTTCCTAGAGGAATCACAAAGCCAAATGCCCAGATTGTGTTTGAAGTTTGACACAGACAACCTCTTCTGCTACAGCTTTCTCCTTCTCTTACTAAAACCTACTGGGTCTTAGTCCTAAAGTCTACAAAAAAATGAGAAACCTAAAATAGGTTTGCCCCACAGGCCACACTAACTAAGTTTTGGACAGGCAAAAAATTAAAATTAAAATGAAACGAGGACGTGTAATTCTGTATCATGGTCTTTGCTAATGGATAATCTTTCACTTTGCGAAATTTGCAATCAGTCTACAAAACGTACTGATTTTGTACTACAGTGCTTGAAACTGCTAATCAGATTTGTTTTAGCATTATTGTACTCCACATCCCATTTTCTCTAATATTCTGTCTTTGGAAAGGCAAGCATTCAAAAAGGGCCATCATGTCTGTTACTGGTTTTACTGGGTTTTTTTCTATCTTTTCTAGGCAGGTTTCCTGTTACACCTCTCCTCCTCTGTGACTTCGTCTCTCTGTCCCTGGAGGAATCAATGTGTCCTATAGGAATCCTGTTGATTTTGGCACCTGATTGACCCATAAGAAATGTGATTTCAGATTTCAAGGATGTATAGCACCCATTCCTGTGGGAGCCTGATCATAACAAAATCTTCAGAATGCCTTAACAGTTCTGCATCAGGCCTCATCATTATAACAGTGGTGACGGCCAACAGGGTGGTCACTCACCTACCAGTGTGACATTTATTTGGATCAGAAAGTTCATAGAGGAAGTGAGGAACTACAGATAACTCTTTTTGTTTAGCAGCTGCTGCATCCTGAGTAGCTTCGGGCATCCCTTCTTGAGTCCCTGGAAAGACAATAAAGCATTAATTTACCAGGAAAAGACTGTGTGCACAAGTTGGAAGTACAAACCGGCAAGATATCAGAGTTATACATGACCCCCGGACACTGCAACTGTCATAAATATGAGTCAGTTGCCAAGCAGCTGAATTTTGATCACGCGACCCATGTCTGCAATGGTTGTAAATGTGAAAAGCATACTTAGATTTTCACACATGGCTTCTCCATTTTGTCTTTCTTTTTGTAAAAATAAATGGTGACATGGTGTAATATCTTATGTGTTGTTGTTCACCTGAGGTTGCATTTACCTAATTTTAAGAACTGCTAAAGATCAGATTATTTTTACTATGTTTTGACAGGTAAAACCATAGGACTCTAAGAGGGTGTACTTTCTTTTTCACATGACTGTAGTCTGGATCAATCCAAACTATCATTCCTGTAGTTTACTCTAGATGTGGGTCATGTTTAATTTGAGAGTCATACAACCTGCTGAGATCAATTCAGTTCACATTGGGAGAGGAATAGGCAAAGAATTAAAACTACATCAAGAAAATATTGCCAGAACATCATTGTACACTTAGTGGTTGGAATAATGTGAAAAGGGAACATGCAGTTATTATCTTCTTTTTTTGGGGGGGGGGCTTCAGTGGTAATTACTCTAGAATGTTTGAGCCATTTTCATTCTGATGCCACTGCATATATACTGTAATAGAAAACCTATCGATACAATGCCTTTTCTTCACTCCTTCAAAAAGGACCATTACCAAAGAGATGGAAGGTGTGGGCCCAGTTCACAGCATCTGTATCCTTTACAAGCCTCCGATACGCATCCAGATCCTGATAAAATGCTGCATACACATTGGCATATTGGTCTGAGGGATCTGTGGCAATCTAGAAGAAAGGCATGGCAATTTTTTTTAATGTGGAGATGAAATGATAGGAATAACTTCATTAATGTAATGCCTTCTTTTTTGGAAAGGCCAAAATGGCCTCTTCCAAAAAAGCAGCAGTACCTTAAATTATCCATTAGAGGCTGGCTATGGACTCCTAGATATTCCTTCCTTCTTTCCTTTCCTTTCCTTTCCTTTCCTTTCCTTTCCTTTCCTTTCCTTTTCCTTTCCTTTCCTTTCCTTTCCTTTCCTCCCTGCCTCCTTCCGTCAGAACTGGCAAGGCTGTTTATTACCTCTTTGCGTGGTCTGGTGAGGACAACTTTGAACTCTGGCCAGGAATCCACAATCACCTCGTGACCAATTGGATTCCCCCGATTTATGTTCATGACTGCTCCATGGACCTGTCAAGAGTCAAGTGTCAGTGTAGTTACGGGAGTCGGTCTGAGAACAATGTGTGAAGAAAAGTAGAGTAGCATTAATTTAGATTTGCTGCAATAACTTTCACCTAATGTTCTACCACTCCCCCTTCCCCACATGTTGATGATGTTCCAGAATTACTTCTTTCTGTTGCTGAATAAGATGAAGGATTTTCACCCGTTAGGCAGAAAATTGCAGATTTGTCCTGCAACTCTCCATTCACCAGAGATCTATGCTCATTAGGCACATCTGGCTGAATCTATTTTTTATATCTTTTATTTTATATCTATTCTACAACACATGGTATGTTACATGGATCATGTTTTAGATATAGGCATTTTCAAGGAATTGTTTCTTGCCATTTTTGGTAAAAGTAAGCAAATAATAATAATAATAATAATAATAATAATAATAATAATAATAATAAAATAATAATAAAAGTAACAATAGTAATAGGCGCCTTGGGTGCAATCCCAAAACAACTGGAGCATCACTTGAACACCACTGGCATTGACAAATTCGCTATTAGTCAATTGCAAAAGGCAGCGTTCCTAGGAACTGCTTCCATCCTGCGACGATATCTGTAATACCATCAAACATCCACATCTGCCTATCCCAGGTTCTGGGTAAGGACTCGATGGGTAGACAAAATGCCAAATCCAGTCTGAACATCTGGCTGACTGTGCGATGATCCATAATAATAATATACTTTATTCATCCTGAGTGCCAAATATTAAGTTCTAGAAAACGAGGTTATTGTCAAGAATCTACGTCCACGTTTTAGTAAATGTTTCAGAATTACCACAAGTGCCTGAGGGAGACTCTTCCTCAGCATTCCCTCCAACAAGCGCAGTTTGTAAGGACAGGAAAGGGCCAACATAGTTTTGGGGATTGAAGCTGATGGGTAGAACAAAGACATAGTAAATACCTGAATGAGAGTCCACTTCTCCCTACCTTCCTGTCACTCCCAAACTGGAATGCTCTCTATCTCAACAAAACAATAAATTTATCCAAGATTCCTCTCAAGAGAAGGCACAAAACAATGCAGCTTCTCCACTTCCCACTGTAACTTTCCTTCCCTTTCAGCTCACATTTCAACATAACTCAGGACTTTCCTTTAGGAATTACCAATATTCTGTCTCAGTGTCTCCTGCTCACCTTCAGCAAGCCAGGTTTTTGTCAGGGCAGCTCCACAATTTCTCTCTTCCTATTTCAGTCTTCTGTCCAGTCCGGTCTTTTTAATACTTGCTTTGCTGTCAAGATCAGATTTATACTACAGCAGATTAACTATTAACAAATACTGTATGGATGTAGAGGTTTCTGATGAAGAGTTGTTAAAGGTTGTTCAGTAATAATTGGCCAACTCTCTGAACCCCAGGACAGGTTTCTTCATAAGTGGGATGATGATGGCATTGTAAGTAGCAGAAGCTTCTCAGGTTACAAGTTCAGGTCGCACAAACAGACCAGGTTAGCAGATGTGCTTAAGCTGGAACAGAAAATACAAGCAAAATACTTTGTGTTCAAGTTTCCAGAAATATGTACGCCTCAACATTTATATAAGAAACAGCTACAATGATTCTTCAATAAAAATAAGAAAAAGGACAAGTAATTTTAAAACCCAGGATCATCCATTAAAGGTCAACAGAGGGACATGCAGGTTAGGTAAAAAGAAGATTGTTTTTACTGGTTGTCACAGAGGATGTTCCAACAGCTATTGTGTGAAGTGAGTAGTTAATTGTGTTTAGCTGATTTTTATTTTCTAGATATGCATTTATTTGGATACATTTTAGAGTTGTGCAAATCCTTAGAAAGACGTGTTTTGGAACAAGCAGGAGGCCCAAAGCATTCAATTTTTATTATAAAAGCTTATTTCTTTCAAGCTTACCTGTCAAAGCTGCTCCCTGCCAGCCTTGGTAGTGTATTTGCGTACTGTGCACACACATGCAAAGAAAACAGGGAGCAACTTCTGAAGTAGCCAAGCGAAGCACACCCTGACAACGAAGTTCCATGCAGTACTTCGCTCAATGAATGTTCTCCTGGACATCAGATTTTATTTCATCTGTTCTGTTCCATTGGAATAAGCACAATCTTGAATGTTATAATGCCTTTCTAGAGAATGACCTGCTTTGAGATAATGGGGAACAGGGAATATGAAAAATAGATTCTGGTAGAGATCTAATTCATGTGGAAAACTCTAATAAGGAGGATCTTGTCATAGACAACGTGTGACCTATTGGGCCATCCTTTCAGAGATAGTTGCTTAATTAAATAAAGAAGCAGAATGATTGCAGGAGAGCAAAAAAAAAATTGGACATATCAATTATGTTCCACCATAATGGTTTCAAGGCAGTAAGAACCTATCACTGCCAAATGAAGCAGCAAACAATTGTAGATTGCACATTTTTATAAAAATCCAGGCATTTGCTCAAATCCATCTTCATCCTTAGGCATATTTTTGCCGCATTGCTTTGTGGAGAACAGAAAATAAATGTCACTTTTCATATTTACAAAGCAAAAACGAATTTAGTTTTGTATACTAGAAGTCAAGGAAAAGCCAAATATAATCGATTTATTTAGTGATAGAGAGATAACTCTCAGAAAATGAAGCTGCAACATCAGGATGTATCAAATCTTACCCATGAGGAATGCCAAATGCCTTGCATTTTAGGAGGAACAAAAAAAGACCTCAACTGAAAAGCAGTTCAGTACTTGGGGGCATATCATCATTTTCCTAGCTAAAAGTCTAAGATGGTTTTAAGGCAGAAAAGTCAGAAAGTCATTCAAAAGAAGGAAGTGTGATATGGATGGATATTTTTTAGTAATTTTCACATATGCTGTATGTCAGGCAAGGACATCACGTTATCTCACCCAGCACATTTTGAGATGGCCTAGTAGTGGCAACACCTCTGGGCTCTAAAACTAAGCACGATTGGGTCTGGTCAGAAAACTCCAGGAAATATTATGGCCAAGACTAGGAAAAGGGCAACACGAATGGGTTCAACAGGTTACCCGCACCTGTTGGCGTAGGGTAGACACACGCTGAGCCAGTCAGTGTAGCACGTGTGCAGCCCCGGACATTTCTGTATTGATGCCAGGAAGGCACATGGCATGAGGGTATCAGACTCAAATTTGTGCCTTTCAGCCTGGACTATAGATCCTGCAGGGATATAGAATTGGTACAGCTAGTTTTAGCCAGAGAAACCCCATTTTGTTGAAAAACCTTCATTTTGCTCCAGATGTTTTACTTTTTGGGGCCTCTCATTCTTGGGCTTCCTATCCTAAAATTTCTGGAAAGCTAGTGATATCCTTATCAAAGAACTGGAAGCAGGCCAACAGCTTATTCAGGGTTAACTTCCCCTTTCCTGTTGTAGATAAATTAGCTAAAACATTTTGCACATTTAATTACTCACCTTATCAGTTAGGGACAGGAGGGACAGAGCTGCAAATTTTTAGCAATGAACCCAGTCTATGGGAGAGTCACTCTCTACTAGGGGTATGAATACTTTTTGTCACTTGTTGCCTATTGCTTGATCATGTGCCTTTGTTTTCCCAAAAGTGTATAAAACTATGCTAATTTGGATATTGAAGGTTTTTGGTATAGTCCCAAGAGCACACCATTTTGCCCTTGTGTGATAATTAGCTACTTCACACCAGGGAAAAAACAAATTCGCATTTAGTTGGGACAATCTATGGTTTGGCCAACAGGGCAACATTTTTGGAAGTAGCAATATCAAACCACCCTTGGGCTAAGAGAAAGTGACTGGCCCAAGATCACTCAGCTGGCTTTGTCCCTGAGACGAAACTACAGATTATAGTCCCCCAATTTCTAGTCTGGTGCCTTAACCGCTACACCAAACTAGCTCTGAATAATAATTTTTAATAAAGTTAACTACGGACGTAAACTTTCAGTGATTTTTGAATTTAATGCCTGAAAGACCGCTTTCTTTCTTTCGTAGTAGGTGCCCCTTCCCACATATCTCGCAGACCAACTAGCACCTTTTATAAAAGGAGGCTGCGAGAAGGGTCCGTTTGGGAAATTTCCCTGGCATCAGCAGAGGTCTTCCTTCCCGTTCCTTCCAAGGCAAAGCGAAAGCAGCTCCGCCATTGGCTGAGCCAAAGCAACAGTAACTATACGCCACCCGGGCTATTCCGGGTTGTCGGGCGACAAGCTCCGAAGTTAGGCCGCCCTGTCCGCTCCTGCGTTCGCACGAGACGTTCCGGGCACTGCTTGGGCCCTGCGCGAGTCGTGAGGACGGCGATCGCCGCATTTCCCCGGGTTGGTTTCTCTTTCTCTTTCCCCCGTAGGAGAAAGCAGGAAAAAGGAGCCCAAATCGGAGAGGGGGAATCTTCTTTCTGCTCGATGTTGCTTTTCTCTCCCTCAAGGAAGGGAGCGAGGGAGCGAGAAGTTGGGTGGATCCAGGTCGTCCGGGAATAAAACTTAGCGAAGGAAAGCCTTTCTCGGGGCGGGGGCGAAAAGAGCAGGTGATGGGGAGCGAAGACGCGGATGAAAATGGGGGCGATCGGCCCCTTTGCTTTTTTTCCATCCTTCGCGAGGGATTTGTCTGCACTTTATGCTGGGGATTGAGGGGCGTCCCGCTGATTTTCTCCCCCACCCGAGGGAGAAGAGGACCTGGCGTTGCCCACGTCTCCCAGCCTTAATCTGGCAGTGCCAGGGCTTCGTTGAGGTGGTTGTAAGGTTGGAGGGGGGGGCAGGCACGGAAGCCTTTCTTCTTCCCCGCTGAAGAGGTGGGGAGTCGCTCTTGGAGATGGGAATGAGACCGGGAACCTCTGCTCGAAAGCGGGCAGTTGGGGGTGAAGCGCAGAGGCTTCTCGCAGCTTCAGGAATTGGCGTGGGGGCCGGGCCGCTAGTCTAAGCGTGTCTGCTTCTCCTTCCACTTCACTGGGAGCAGCCGGGAGACGCTGGGGACTTCACATGGAGCTATGGGCAGGAAGCGACTCATCACCGATTCTTTCCAAGTGGTGAAAAAGAAACGAGGCGGGAAAGAAAGAAAAGAGGCTCAGAGCCCACCGCAGGGTAAGCACTTCTATGGGCTCTTCCCCCATCTCTCCTTTGTGGGTTCCACCTCTTTCCCCTGCTTGGGCCTTTGGAATGGCCTGGTGTTGTGGTGAGCCCAAAGAGACCTCCTAGCATTTGGCTCTGCCAACCCTGTTAGGAAAGCTTCAACAAATCAGTAATGTTGCGGAATTCCAGCTCCAAAGTAGGAAAGCATGTTTGTTCTGGAGAGACACAGCGGATTTATTTTTCTTTTTGTTTTGTGCCTGACATCCTGGAGGATGCCTCACCAGGGTAGACGTATTCAATTTCTATAGCTGCCCATCTCAAACAATGGACTCTACACAGTGAACAGTAATAAAATAATTAAAAGCACTTATATAGTACAAAATTAAATGTATATAGCAGCTGAGAAAATATATCATAGATGTCAATAGTCAGGAAATGGGGCCCTTTACACACTTGGGGGCCCAGGTAGAAAGCCAGGTCTTTGGCACCTTACTACAGGCCAACAGTGTCAGGGTCATCCTCAACTCTTAAGGAGAGTATTCTGGAGGGCAGGGACTTTGGCAGAGAAGGCAGGTCTCCTAGTCCCCACCAACAGACATTCCTTGGTTGACAGGGCCCTTAGCAAATTGCAACTCCAAGCTAGTTCCATTATTAAAAATAGAACAGTCACTCCAACATTCCCAACAGCTTCTGTGGAACCTACATTTTTCTAGAATGTAGAGAGGATTAGGCCCTTGGCCACTTCTTGGATAGCTCAAAAAGTGGGGCAAGAAGAGTTCATGCAGTTTTTGAGACCATATTTACCTCTGTTCTTGGTGGCCTGAAAAATGTTGGATGCTGCTTTGAGGGAAGATTTTACAAAGCAGTTTGTACAATAGAAACTGATACATACATACATACATACATACATACATACATACATACATACAATCTGAAAAGTTATGAAATTCCATCTCCCATCTACATTAGGCATGCGTAATAGGAAGCCCCCACGATTAGCAATAGTTTAATAATATTAATGGAATTCAGATCTTATTTGGACATTCCCCCCCCCCCGCCCTATATGAAAGTGGGGGAATTTTGGGAATTGACAACCACACATCTTAAAGCTGCCAAATTTGAGAAACACTGGTATAGATGGAGAGATGCAAACAGTATGGCTTTTGCCATTTAGATTTTGGAATTGGCTAAAGAGGTGGTAACACAATTGTTAAGTGCCACCCTAAGCCCTTTATGCAAAGAAAAATACCAGCACTCCACCTATTAACACTAATGGGCTGATTGCTTCTCAGACTTAGTTCAAGCAGAATCTCACCTACAAGATACTGCACAATCCGATCAGCTGGAAATACTGAAGCAGTTTGATCTCAGCTGGCAGTATGGTCCCTGCACTGGTAAGATTGTCTAGTTATCTACTGAAACAAAAGTCCATATTGTGAAATAAGTAGATGTTTGCCTTTTCTTTGCTGTTGTTTCCTTACTGCCAAATTTTAAAATATAACCTTATTTTACACACTGTAAAGAAATGGTTCATCATATTGTGTTGCAGATGCATTGGATATTTGCAGTAGATCAGCAATTATTATTCACAATTATTTATTGACACAGTACAGCATTGATTTAATAGTTATTGGCCAGGAGATAAGTCCACTAAAATTAAATAGCCACTCAATCCATATTTACATACTTTATGTTATTATCTTCCCCTCAAACCAAATAACTTTATTGTTATTATTCACATGCACTTAAATTGATGCAAATAATGACTTTATGTCAGCTGTCTGGACTGCTATAGAAACAGCAGTCTGATATTTGGGGGTGAAGTGCAACTAGAATTCTGTTGCATCCAAAATTTGCTGAATGGCATTTTGTAAAATTGAGGCTTTACTGTAGCAGCAACAAAATATCCACTAAATTTGCACTGTATAAATTAAAAGCAGTTGGACAAAAATTAATTGGATATTTATCAGAAAGAATTATGTATATACTATTGTGGCCCAGGAAACAAGTTAATGTCTTCTTTACTTAGTTTTGAATGATGGATCCAAGTACTAAATAGAGCTTGCAAGTCTGAAATATATACACTTGTACTGTAAAATATCATGCATGATGATAATGCCAGACAAACAATAGTAACATAGAAAAAAGGAACTCATAAATCATCCTCAAACTCTCATAACTACAGTTGTCTCAGCTAAACTGATTAGGAAGCTTCCTGCAGATATTACATTCTTGAATCGCTTTCTTCTGCTGACAGGAATTACCCGTATGCAGCGCTGGGAACGAGCCAAATTCTTAGGACTCAATCCCCCTACAACTGTGTGGGATTTGCTCCTGAAGTATAATAAGGACCCTTTTGTTATGAATAGGTCAGTATATTATGTTTCTACACTTTTCAGTCCCTTGGGTTTTTTTTTTTTAAACTATCCGTCAGAAAGAACAACATTATGAAAAATATCATGATTAGATTAAATTCTGATGCTACATTTGTGTGAATAGGCTGTAACTACCTCTCTAAAGAGAAGACTCAAAATACATTCTAGAAAAGTGAGATATAAGATAAACCGGAAGAAAAATTCCAGCCATTCACATTGAGAATATAGAATTTATGCAGGAACACAGCCACCATTCTTTTCTTGAAGCTCAGGTATCTGTGGCTTGTATCATAGTAGAGTTGACATATGCTGACCATGAGAAAAATATCAGTTTAGGATCAGCAAGGATAGAAGTCAGAACAAAGGCGGCACTTCAAGTATATCTTTTCTTCAAGACAATGTCTACCACAAGCAGTGTGAAATGTATTGGAGTAAGGAAGCTTAATTCCTTCCGTATTTATAGCCTTAACATTTATAGCCATGTACTTAACAGTAGCGAAGGAAAACCTATGACACACATGCCAAAGGTGACACGCCACATTTTGGGTGACAAACTAGCATCACCAACATTCGTCAACAACTGTTCTGGAAAGCATGCTCCATACTTTTGGGAGCACAATTTTTGGAGCTTGTGGGGGCTGCATGAAAATGGGTGTGTTCTTGTGCAGCCGCCGAACCCTCCAAAAATGTGTTTGTTTTCATTGTATTTCATTTTTGTAATTATTTAATGTTTCTTTATATAATACATAGCACCACGATCGGACTATATATTTTTTAAAATAAATAAATATATACAGAATTGTTTCTTTTGTGGGGGGGGAGGGGAAATGACACGCCAGCAGAGTCAAGTTAGGCATTTTCCTAATTTTTGATACACCGAGCCCAAAAGGTTCACCATCACTGCTTTAGAACTATATTTTACAAAGCTAAAAAGAGAGTTAACAATGGAGCCTTTCATCCAAGTACCGATTGGCTCCTAACTTTCCTAGCTGCTTCAGTGCTGTAGGAGTAAGTGCACTGTCACCACTCAACGTTAAGGAGATGATGACAAATTCAAGAAGTCCCAGATATGGTCTCCCTTTACTTCCCTTCCGTTGAGTTCATTCCCCTCCTCCTCCGCTTTGGCCAAGAACGTGCTAGCTTTGAAAGTTGAGAGCTGTGGGACAAGAGCGGACTCCAGATGGAATGTTTGCTTAAGTTGACCATTAAATTGTGTCTGCCACAAAGGATGCTGTTGTGCCACAGAAGACAGCCCAGCCCATTCCAGCTGCTTGGTGAGGGGATGGAGTGGCCATGTGAAAAGTCAACCCAGTCCTCCCCTGACAGTAATGGTGCTCCAAATTTCTTTCTTGTAGCTTGTGGCATGAATATGCCCTCTGAAAAGAGCAACTGTTGCTACCTGAGGCTGTGAAAGAGCCCCTGCCATCATGTCACCATAATCATTTGGATGATTCCAGCATTCCTGTAGCAAATGCTGCTTTGCAGTGGTGGTAAGGTTGTTATAGAGGTGAGAAGGCCTTCTAGCTGATCTCCACTTGTGACTTTGGCCTGAACTTTTAGAAATGATCAATAAGAACTAGATCAAAGCTGACATATACCAGTACTATCACACCAAGCCAAGTTCAGTATGGAATTGCAATCTGCCTTGTATTTTTCATGTTTCATTCAATTTTGAACCTAGTTTGATTTGGATAAGTGCTTGTGTACTTTAAGAGGTGCTGAAAGGCATAACAATTACGTCATCAGCATTTTTTGTCTCTGCATTATGAGCCACTTTAAAAAAAAAATCAAACTTTCTTTAGTAAAATTGCATCCTAAGTAAAAGTTTTGTATTGGTTCCACAGTTTAAGGATGTGGAGGACATCTTTAGTAAACATATAACATGCTGTAGTTAAAGCTAGAGCTATTGAACTAAAGCAATAGGTAACTGAAGGTTCAGCTAGTGTCAGCATTGCCAAAATAAAATTAAATCTGATTATTTGATCAGATTCCTTTATTCTTAATAATTATTTTGCTTTTAGTTTAATGTTGCTTTTTATCAGATTGACTGGTTTTATGGATTGTACGCATCCTGATATTTATATATCAAATCTTTAAAAAATAATAAAGTGCACTTTCTTGTACAATTTTTCACTCTTCTTCCTGGGATTGAGGAGGGGAAACAACAGTTTCAACCTTCCACAGATATTACAATGAACTAAATAGAATTTCAGCACCACAGCTTTGGGGGAATCTTAAATACTGAATACACAAGAGCATACTGCCTGTACCATGAGCTATCAAACAACAGCATTTAATCTGTATCTGCAGAAGCACCAATGGACTGATATATTATAATCATTTCCCCAAAGTATTCTATTCCACCTAAATGCATAAAAAAACTTGATTAAAGTAATGGATAGGCCAATGGAAGGCATACCTGACAAGATAAATGGAGACAGGAGCTGAAAATTACAGAAACTATGTTTGATAAAATCATGAGAAGACAGTCCTTTGTTTAAAACCTGTAACATAAGGAATAATTTAAAAATGCCTTTAATAATATATAACAATGTGATGCTGATTGTGTAGGTGTCTATATGTATTTATATAGAAATAGTAATAGTGAAATATCAGGAAAATAACAGAAGGGAAAAGGTAAAACTAAAAATACAAGTTCGGCACTAAAAAAAACCCAAGTTGCATCAGAGATGTAACTGAGACAAAGATAGCCTCTGAAATTACGAAATAAATTGTAATCATAAGACATCTGTAGTGGTTCATTAAAACTTCGTAAAACTGAAGAAATTTTCAACTAGGGACATCCCAGGCGACTGGAAAAAATTAAAACCTTGTTAGTATTTGTAGCCAAGGTAGGCAACAATTTACCTGCCTGCCCATCTATCATTTGGCAAGAGTTCAAAAGCGGTTTGCCACTTCCCGCTTCTTAGGGCTGAGAGAGAGAGTGGCCCAAGGACACCCAATTGGTTTCAGACTTAATGCAGAATTAGAACTGAGTCTCCCAGTTTCTAGCCTGATGTCTTAACCACTACACCAGGGGTAGGCAACCTTGGCTCTTTTATGACTTGGCTCTTTTATGACTCAACTCCCAGAATTCCTGAGCCAGCATGGTTGAGTTGAAGTCCACGAATCATAAAAAAGCCAAGGTTGCCTACCCCTGCACTACACCAAACTGGCTGATGGTGGTATCTTAAATTCCTCCTCCGAACATGAATGAAGGAGGACACAAATGGGCTACAGATCATATGGCAACATGTATTAAAGAACAAGGAATATTTCAGTTCGTAATGAATTTTGCATATTTCTGCTTCCACAAAAATGTTGGACAATGGAATGTTATACTTTCACTAAACCTCTAAATCAACGGTTGTCTTTTAAAAATCAGTTTTCACTTATTTTAGACCTGAGCATCACTTTGAGATGGTGGTAGATGTCCTAATGCCTATAAGCACCATATTGCCAATCCCTGCACCATACAATTATGCAATAGATATGGTCAATTTATTGTTCAGTTTTCACTTTTTATCAGTATCAGCTGGCTTAAAGGCAGGAACAATTATAAGGACATAAGACTAATTTGCATGCTATCAGATAGAATAGATACCAACAGAATCTGAATACTTTGCTATGCGACGTCCTGATGTATGCTCTCTACAATGTCTTTACACTTTACACTAAGATGTAACTCCTTTAATCAAATGAGTATATTCCTTAAGGGAAGTTGTCTCCCATTTGATAATTTCACATAGAGGCAGCAGCATTGTGAAAAGTTGTCCCTGGTAATGGATTCGGTATGCCATTATCTTTGAGAACATTTATTATTGAAACATTTATATAAAAAAGCTGTGCTACAAGAACTTTTAGAAAAGTTCCCTACACTTCCCGGCATTTGAATTGCTGTATGGAAAGCATTAGTTGTAATGTGTAAAATAATTAGGCAATAGTTGTATTCTCAGAACTAAGCAAAACTTTCCTTTGAACAGAGGGCACAGGATTGCACTGAAAATAACTCTGCTCCGTCGAGTGATTGCTTTATTAAGAACCTGCTCATGTTCTTCAGAGGTTAGATATTTAGTTTTTAATCTAAATATCGAGATACGATCTTTGGAGGTAGACAACCCCAAAGTAAACATCTTTGCTGGAAACCAGGTTCCACCCTCCTGAAGAAATTCAGGGCATGTCCAGAAAACGGGCAGCTCTGCATAAAATCTCTGATCAGGAATGAAAGAGGTAAATTAGGCAAAGTGTGTGTCAGCAACCATCCATGTGAAGCCTGCAGTCAGCCTGTAGGACACCCAGTTTTTCAAGGCACGAGCAGACCGGCAAGCAGGACGGGTAGTCCACGAGTTATGACCAACGTTTCCATTGCTAAGTGAGACAATTGTTAATTGAGTTTTGCCCCTTTTATGACCTTTCTTGGCACAGCTGAATGAATCGCTGCAGTCCTTAAATTAGTAACGGCAGCCGTTAAGTGAAGCTGACTTCCCCATTGACTTGGCTTGTCAGGTTGAAAAAAGGTAACCCTATGACCCTGGGACACTGCAACCGTCATAAATACGAGTCAGCTGCCAAGTGGCCGAATGTTGATCACATGACCATTGGGATGATGCAATGGTCATGCGAAAAACGATCATCGTAACTTTGGTCATTAAACAGCTGGTTGTAAGTCAAGGATTACCTGTAATTATGCACTCACATCAGGGACTGCCAGCCATAAACTTTCACATTTTGTGAGAAACTGAATCATGCTAAGTATCTTTACTGCCCCCTGGTGGGAAAACTGTGGAAATGGAGACCCACACTCTTCCCAGTTCTATAAAAATCTTGAAAGCCATGCCTGATGACTCCTTTCTACAATTTTAACTCCGTACCTTGTCCAGTTCCCTCTACTCTTCCACTGTTCTGCCATGATGACCAGCACCAAAGGTGGTCCCCAGAGATTCCCTGCTATGGAATAGCTAGCACCAATATTGTTACAATGTCCTTATTTCCAGGATGAAGGGATTTCCTGAGTTAGAGGTTCTTATTCTGGATTCCTAGCAACCTTTGGGGGAAGGAAGCCAGATCTTCATCCTAGTTGTTGCTCTTGCTCTGTGGAGAAGATACTGCCCGTAGAGCTTGTCCAGGCAGATGGCTTGGCTGAGTCAGTATTGATGTGATTTTGCTCAGCTGCAGAAGAGAGCCAGAGATAGCTACAAAAAGAAAAAATAAACAAAAAAACCCAAAGTATTAATAAGAAATTAAGCTAGATGCCTTTTCCTAATCCCTAGAAATGTGATCCTTGCGACTTGAGATGGAACAAAAGCCATAAGTAATATATGCTTTCCTTGCATATATTACTTATGGCTTTCTTTGCATATATTACTTATATGCTTCCCTTGCATAGTCATTATCTTGTGATAATTCTTGCCTTTCCTCTGCTCCAAATCTAGACATGGTTGTGCAGTTTTCATTCTCCTATTTTACACTTACATTTTGAGCTACATATTATGCTAGCAAAATCACAATAGGCAAGTTATAGAATTAAGATAAATCTTCCAATTCCTCCTTTCATTTTTCTCATGTCATACTAAGAAGAATTTAAAAAACGTACATGACTGCCTATCTCACATAATAACCCAAGGTGGTTCATAACAATCAATTAAAAAAAAACAATTGGCTGAAATAAAAGCAGAACAACCTTCACACTAGGGGCCAGAACAACCAAATACTTGACCTCCTGACTCAACCCCACCCTAGCCCAATGCTTGAAAGAGCCACATCTTCATAGTCTTCTGAAGGCTAAAAGGGCAGGGGTAGCGCTTAAGATGCTATGTTTATTTCATGCTCTGAAGCAAAGGTACTCAAAGTCCTGTCTTAGATCAAGACCCAGATAGGACCCTGGAATATTTCCTAGGTACTCATTTGAAAAAAATCTGCCTGGACTCTTCAGCTTTCCTCACAATTCTAATTCGTCCTACCAAAGTGTCAAACCATACCAGGGCGCAAGATGGGTAATGTGCAGTGCTGCTCCAACCAGTTCATCACTGATTGGCAGAAATCCTTGATGCTGCCTGTGTTCACCATTCTGGTATAGCTCTCAAACAGTGGCTTAATTATAACACTGAACTGCAAGTTGAAAAGAGTTAAGGATTCATTATAATCAACTTTTCTCATTTTAAATGTTGCTGAGGCAAATACATCAGATTTTATGCCCCCAATTTGTTCCTTTGCAGTAACCAAATAAACCCCACTTTGTTAGTTCCTAATGGATACAATCCAAAAACGCCAGTCCTCTAATGTGCGCTGACGTACATATTCTTCATAGAGTTCAGAAGCCTGATTTGATTGTGGAGGTAATACAGGAGCTCCACTAGGTGGAAGTTGGCGCTGGAATTTACTGCAAAAGAAAAGAAAAGAAAAAGTACAACTCAACAATATAAATTTCCTTTACTCAGATCAAGTGACAGCTCAACCATTCAGACCTACTATTCAACTTACTCAATGGCAGTGCTCAACTCTTCAATTTCTCCACGCAGTCTTTCTACCATTTCCTGATTTTGTCGGCGTTCTTGCTGGAGTCTTCCTACATATGCTACACTTTTCTGCAAGAGCAGCGCTTTGCTGAGCTGAGAATACATAAGGTCGAACAGAACAAGGGAAGACAATTCCAAGAGGATCATGGGAGAAATGGGAAAGACAAAATAAATACTAACCTTCTTTCTTACAGGGAAAAGATATGTACCTTAGTGCTGGTTTGATCAGCTCCTGACAGTACTAGACTGGCAAGAGTGTTAAAGCCTGAGCTAATGATCATACGACGAGCACAGTCAGCAGAAGTAAAACTTGATCGGCAGCTTCCCTGCAAGGGACAATTACATTCTGACAATTCTCAGCTTTGCAATTCATTCAGTTGGGATACACAAGATAAACCATTGTTTTTGATCTGCAGAAGACACATGGCACGGGAGGGTGGGATATGTGGGTGGAATCAGGTGAGATTAATATATTTATTTAGTCAAAAAGAATATGACTGAATTTAAGACAATTATCTTCACCCCAGGTGATTATAAAGATAAATAATAATATTGCCACTTCCACTACCATATTCTAACTGATTCTGATACTCCTCAGATTTAAAAAACAACTTAGGAGAAATACGATCTTCCTTTCATATACAGTAGCGATCTTCTTACCTGAACAGGATTATGTTTGTATTTTTCCTGGTGACTACACAGATTCTTCTCCTTGGCCATCTTCTGGGTTGAGGAACCTGGAACAATTCCCAAAATATAGGGGTAAATGGGCTTATATCCTGTTTTCATCAAAATATAATATATAGACTAAAGTAGAGGAATAGATGAGACAGAATATGTGAAATGACTCCATGCCTAGCATGTTTACCAATATCAAGCAAGGCAGCAGCTGAGACAGGCACTGGTGAAGGCTCCTTTGTAATGGAGACTGACCTCAGTAGGACATCAGCTGAGAGATTTGAGTTGCCACAAATCTGTGGGAGATGATAAAAAAAGAGTTATCTGATAGGAATATCAAAAGAAATTATGAAGAATAAATTGTGCATATCAATCCAAGAAGACGTAAATAAGGCTATTTATTGAAAGGCCTCCAGCACAGAAGGTGGCAAAATCAGAGCTGCTCATCTTACCCTTTTCAGAAGATGATAAAAGAGAACATCCTTACCTGAACAGATTTTGTAACTGGAGTGAGGGCCAGTGGGACAGGACCTAGAAATGAAAGAAAGAGGGGGTTTCCCCCCATTTCTGTTTCCAGTCTCTATGGATCCCCAGTGATTAGAAATCTTGGCTGGCTAATAAGCTCTACCAGGAAAAGAACACTGAATTCTCCAGTAAACTACATTAGTTAGTTAGTGAGCCAGTCTTCTCAAGTAAATCCCACTTACCTTATCTAGAAATTAAAGCCACCAGCTGCTACTTAAAATGATGGGCATCACACTCAGAATGGCAACTAATATCAAAAATCCAAGTAAACCAGGCCATGTCACAATCATTGTCTAAAATGTTGGTTTGTATTACTCAGCTTGAAAACTATTCCTCAGAGTCTATTCATAGCTGTACATTTAATAGCTGCAGAGTAGAAAAAGGAGTTCCAGAGTTAAATTTTTGCCCTTGTTATTTTTTAATTAGAATATGCACACTGAATATGAGTATGAGTTTTGCATTTCAATTAGCACATTTCACTATTACTTCAATTTGGGAATTAAGGAAATCTTTTTAAAAAGTGATTATGTAGATCTTAAAATTTGTGAATGGACTTTAAATGGTTCAGTCTGTTTCATGCAAAAATAAATTGGAAAAACATAACCAAGAAAAGCAAGTGTTGGACAGCCTACAGCTGTCATGCTTTTACATAAGTAACTTCTAAAATTGTAATCGAAAACAATCTGCTCTTTCCTTTATACATATACATTTATATGTATACTGTGTTCTTAAATTTACATTTAAACTAAAATAGAAAAACCAATAAAGAGCTCTTAACACCCATTATTTATGACTACAGACTAAAATCCTAAATCTACTGAAGCCACTGCTCCCTGAGCTACAGACTATTACATAATTTTCTAGTAGTGCAAATACAAAAAAACGTTTATATACTTCTAAAGCTCTTGTGTCTGTAACATTTAACTGGATGAAATTGTGCATCATAGGGCAAAACTTTTTCAATCAAGATACCTCAAAAAGAGCTAACATAGAATGCGTTCAAAATCTGGAACCCATGATTCCCATGAAATTGAAGTTTGGCAAATTTTATAAAACATGACATAAAAATTATTATAAAGTAATTTATGATAGGGGTCCCCAATCCCCGGTCTGTGGACCAGTACCGGGCTGCGGCATGTCCACCCAAACAAGCAAAGCCCCATCCGTGGGTTGCAGGCAGCACACAAACCCACGCACTCTCCGGTCCATGGAAAAACCTTTCTCCACGAAACCGGTCCCTGGTGCCCAAAAGGTTGGGGACCTCTGGTTTATGACATATTACAAAATATCATAAAACATTTCATGTGGTCAACTGCACAGGAAATGTTTGATTGTGCTATACAGTTCAACATGGGCCTACTTTCGGGGCAGATGCATCTCTGAATATCTCCCTGAATTTTTAAGAACTTTTCCAGTACATTAGAAACTCTGCCATTTGTTGAAAGCATTGATGAATCTGATAAGGAAATATTTCTAAAACAATGACAACAATGGGTTGTCTAGAATTCTATAAATGTATGTTTCATTCTCCTTTTGTTTGAATTAATTGATAAGAACAAAACTAACTTCTAATAGTTATGAAAATGAGGTACACCAAAACATATAGCTAGAAAGACCTTTAAAAATGTAAACCTTTTCCAAGCTTCACCAATGTTAGCAGAGATGAAGAAGTTCAACTGATGATAGTCTGAAAAATCAAATGTCTAGCCAGGAGTGCTCACGTGTGTCAAAAAAGGCAAGATGGCAACTGTGTCCTTGTGATTGAAGTCCTGCTACTATTTTATATGCATTGCACCTTGACCTGTTTAAAAAGGGATAGGGCACCAACTGAATGGTTGTGGCCAGAAATATTTTTTGCTGTCCCCCCCCCCCCCCCAATATCTGGTGACTGCTGTAAAACTAACTAAGGTAAGTGCACAATTCCCGGTATTATTTAAAATCCAAAAAGCAGAAGTCCAAAGAAAGCTTAACTACGGCTCAGCCTCATTTCTCCTCTCTATGAAGCCCCGTTTAGCAGTACGTACCAGCTGTAGGTAGTGGAGTGAAGGAAGCCTGGGGTGTTGCTGGCTGATGATGAGTAGGAGAAGGTGCTGGAGCAATCCGCTGAAGCTGCCTGACCCCTCCACCCTTGGATGAGGAACCACAGTTTGGCATAACAAAAGGTTCCCCAGAAGGGGATGGCAAGGTCTTTTCCAATCCAGTGTTAGTAACAACAGAAAATACAAATGTGGTTTGTGGCTGAAGATGCAAGATAGGAGGGGCAGGTGGAGGGCTGATCCTTGGTGGAGAGGTGGGGAAGAATGGCAAGAAGATCTGCTGTCCAGTCAGAGGTGTAGGCAGCTCTACATCCAGAAGTGGGTCTCCCAATGGTGGGAGCTCCTTAGCATGAGAGGCAACAGAAGGCAAATTGGAGGCGTCCTGGTGTAAGGCAGTAGCATCTGGCAGAGGTGCAGGAACCTAGGGAAGGTTAAGGAAATGTCAGCTCTTATACAGAATTTTTTTTAATTCTGTCAGCACTTTCATACTATTATATAAGGAAGGGTGGGAGAGAAAGATAAATTACAGGTAGACCTTGCTTAATGACCATTCAAATTAACAACGGCCTTGGAAAAGGTGCTTTACAGCCTGTAAAGCATTTCTGAACAACAACCCCCCCGTGGTCACGTGATGACATTCTGCGTGCTTGGCAACTTATTCATACTTATCACTGGTTACCCAGTGTCCTGCAATCAGAAAATCAATGGGAAAGCCAACAGGGAAAGTTGCAAGCTGCTGTTGCCACCTGCTGAGAGGACTTAAGTGAGATGTCACATGATTGCTTCGCTCAATGAACACGATCCCAATATTCCCAACTGTTAAGCGATCTCCAAAGGGAGAGGCAGGGAGATAGGATTTTAATACGTAAAGGCTCCCTGCTTCTCAGTGCTTGTGCATGGATTTTAATATGCTAAAATCTTTGTTTCCCTGCCTCTCTCTTAGGAGAGCATTTATGATTGCAACTGGGAGTATTGAGATTATGGTCACTGAGCGAAGCAGTCACATGACATCTCATTTAATGATCTCTTTGCTCAATGTTTGAGTCTCCATTCCCAATTGTGCTCATTAAGCAAGGACTGCCTGTAATTTCTGATTCAAATTTGTAAACAGGCACAGCACACTCTTTGTAGTAAATGTAGTAGCTATAATAATAATAAATTATATAATTCTTTATGTATGGATTAGTCTACCTTATACAGAAATATACTAGAGAAATATAATCCAGAAAATCAAGTAATGGGTTGAAACAGTTATCTGAGTATTGGGCTGGGCTGGGCTATACTTTTCAAACTGCAGTTTTCACTCCCTGTAACATAAGTGTCTTCTAACAGAAAATAATAATCCTTCTCACTTTATGTATATGGAACTAAGTGCTACTGTAGCTACTGTAATAAGTGACTGGATATACTGCTTCTCCTTACCTGGAATATAGGTTGAGGACGACAAGAAGTAATAAATTCTGTGAAAAGAAAGTAGCGTAAATAACTTGGAGGAGTCAATGAGTAACAAAAATAAGGATTGGCTGATAAGCTCAATCAATTAAGCAATAACCATTAGGATTTTTTTCTCAGTTAGTGATATTTTAAAAAAATCATAGACAGGAAGACAATATGGGGTTGCAACCTGAGGAAAGAAAAAGCAACATAAATTTTGCCAGATTACATCATATAATAGTTGTCATAGATAGAAATTAAATAAGTGTGTGTGTGTGTGTATGTATGAGTGTCCCTGCACACACATGCAGGGACTAGATGGATTGTAGAATGCAAGTTGTCATATATCTACACATTAATCTTCATCCAAGTATATCTGGTAGTAAACATATTAACATTAGTCACAATCTTTAAACTTTAATAGGAAGAATGGACCAATTTTCATAACAGGAGTATCGTATCGTCTGACGTTTTCCAAATTTCCATAAAGTAGACAATAGTGATTTGCATTAGATTTTAAATTATTAGCATTAGATTCTGAATTGTAGATGGAAACAACTCTATTCAGATTACCTTTTCTGATACTGTTTGTTGAAATAGATAAAATGTAAAGTCAATCTCATGTTGAGCTTGATTCCTGATGACTACATAGACAGGTCTATCTTGTTTGCTTGGTAGCAATATGGAAATGGTTTCCAGGATGTTTTTCGACCTTCCAGTCTAGTCTATAGCTCCAATATTCCTTGGTGGTCTCCTATCCAAGTACCAACCAAAGAGCCAGAACAGAAATGGAAGAAGAAGCATGACTGAATGTCTATAGATCATGAATGATGAAAGGAGATCATGGCCAGGCAGCCTTTTAAATAGTCTTGACAAAGGTAAGGAAACAAATGAAAAAAAAAGACAGACAGAAGGAAAGACCAATTTAGGCTCCAGGACCATAGTACTGGAATACTGTACAGCACATTCACCAGAGAAACAGTGTTGATCAATGGTTAGTACAAGATGGAGCATGTATATTAACTAAATCAAAAGCTGTCATCCAGAGCTCAACTAGTGAATATTCGGTGCTTCTATGCTTTTTCACTTTTCAGTCCGAGTTGACTAATTGAATTAATTCCTCTATTGATTTATTAATCCTGCTATGAAAACCCATTTGCAGAAACAGATGGATCAAGTGGGATTAAATTCGAGTGCTACAATATAAAACATATTCATCTGGGATTCAGGCTAGACATTGGTGCTGTTTTCTAGCATAACCCTTTCAATTTCTATTCTCCCTGGTTTCCACCTACCCACTCAATCAAGAAACTGATTTTCCTCCATCTTTTATTTTTATTTATTCTGCAAAACACAATGTTTTTGTCAAGTCTGTTGATCCTTCAGCCTTGAGCATAGATGTTATATTAAAAGAGAATATCAGCACTTATGAGAGTGAAATCACTACTATTATATAGGATGCTGGAAAAGGTTTATTTTCATTTATTCACTTACAGTAACAGATTGGCACACTTGTAGACTTGTAGAATCTTAGCAGGAGGGAGGATTTTCCCCAAGCAAAACTCTGCTCTTATTTCTTGTGACTTAGGCTAATCTGTGTTCATTAGCTATACCTCTGAGCCAATGTAAAGTAATCAATAGCTCTAATACTATTTACTGTTGAGGTCAGAAGCCAACCTTTCATAATCTGGGGATTAATTTGAGGCTTTTGAAAATAAGTCAGTAATCTCATTTTCTCCCAAAGCATGAGATTTAGATACTTTGCTTTTTGAGATTGTAAAAACATTTTCCCACTGAAATATACATTAAATAATGGAAACAGATCCGGGGAGTCCAGCAACAAATTCCCATGCTGCACACTTTCTGGAATACACATGTGAAACTTTTAAAAACATAGCCTTGAATTGACCCTAGGAAACTATGCAAAGCTCATTTAAAAAATATACATATACAGATCACATAATTCAACTTAGTTATATAAAATCGGGGAATTTCTGTTACCCTGAATAGGATCCAAAGTGTTCACAAATTCTTCTCCAAAATTGGGGTGAAGTTGGGTCAGAGTAGGCTGGATCATGTCAGCATTACCCTGGTGAGCTGAAGACATAAAATAAGGAGTGATACATACAATTCACTATTCATTTTAGTTATTTATTAAACTAATTTATATCACCACCGAACTCACAACACGGTGACGCTGGGCAGCTTACAGCATTAAAAATCCACAATGTAAAACTCTTAAAATGCCACCTTCTCCGCCACGGCAACAACCAATACAATTACTCTAGCCACTTGACAATCCATACAATTAGTCTAGTCACTGGCCACTCCATAGCAGGCTCCCTGACAGAACCTTGTCTTCAGGGTCTTCCAGAAAGGTGAGAGGACTATTTTATCTCTGGGGGAATGACATTCCATAGAGAGAGGGCCACCACCGAGGCAACCCTTTTTCTTGGTTCCACCAAATGTACTTCACTAATTAATAGATGGGACCTGCAACATACCCTGCTTCCTGTTCTGGTAGACCAGGCAGATATAATTGGGGAGATGCAGTCTTTCAAATAAACTGGCCCCAAGCTCTGTATGGCTTTAAAGGTTATAAGCAGCACCTTGAATTGAACCCAGAAGCAAATTGGCAACCAATGCAGATCCTGTAAGACATGATGCATGCATGTATCTAGGCTTGTGTAAAACTGTGTGAGCTGCTACATTTTGAACCAATCGAAGCTTCTGGATACTCTTCAAGAGCAGCCCTTGTAGACTGCATTACAATAGTTTAAACAGGGCCTGGATGACTCTGTGAAGGGCATGTTGGTCCCGGAATGGGTGTAATTGGTGCACAAGGAGCAGGTTCTCCTGGCCACTACTGCCATCTCCTCAAGCAGGGGTCACTAGTCCAGCAGCACTCCAGATTATGCACCAGGTCTGTCCAGGGCAGTGCTGACTCCATTCTTGACCACAGATGATAATTCTTCAAAACCCAAAGAGCCCCAAACCCAAACCCACTCCATCTTGCCAAGGTTCAATTTTGGCCTGTTGTTCCCCATCCCTACCTCAACAGCCTCCAGGGACCAGGAAAGGGCAGTTGCAGCATATAACTCAACAAAGGCAGAGATGTACAACGGACTATTATCATCGTTTTGATGATATCTTTCCCCTTGGTAATGGATGACTTCCCTCAATGGTTTCATGAAGATGTTAAACAGGTGCAGAGAGAGCACTGATCCTTGCAGGACCTTTGCAAAGCTGGGGCTAAGGATTGGACCTCTTGCTCTCAATCAACACCAACTGAAAATGACCTGGGAGAAAGGAAGTGAACCCAGACAACACAATGCCCCCTACTCCCAACCTCTGAAGCCATTCCAGAAGAATATCATGGTCAATGATATAGAAAGCCACTCAGAGATCACGTAGAACAGGGATGGAAGTACTCCCCCATCCTGTTCTCGCCAGATAACCAATGACATTTGTGTCCCATATCTGGGCCTGAATCCTTATTGAAGAGGATCCAGATACTGTTTCATGCTGGATCCTCTGGAGGTGCTACTTGATCACCTTCTCAACAACTTTCCCCCAAAAGGGAAGGTTGGAGATATGACAAAAATTTATAGCTAAATTTACAACTTTTATAGCTAAATAGCATGTATCGTACACAGTCTTTACAAGTCAGCAACTAACTCCTATATGGAAGCCCTTGGAAAGCTCTCTACACTTGGGCATAAGGAACAAGTTTCACTACAAAACCACTGTATAAAGGGCGCAAAGTGACTTCTCACCAAGACCACGTAAATTGGGACCACCATAAGGGTTGCGGCTGGAGACCATGGTGTCCAGAAGTACATCCAGATCATGTAAGGGATCAAGCTCCATAGGACCTCCACTTGCTGTTTCATTGTTGAATTCTACCTCCGAAATTGCATCAGACACCTCCTGCACAAAATAGGAGGGGGGGGGGGAAAACCCCATATGTTCCAGCAAAGGATTTGGGAAGTGGAAGCCTGGAATGCTCAATGGTTGTTATTCTAAGTATTCCAGTTTCAGACTCTGCCACAGGGAGAAGGGAATAGGGACAGGGAATCTTTGAATATTAAAATAGCACCTGACTAGGATCACAGATTGGTTTGTCAAACTTCTTCTGCTCCTAAAACAAAAAGACAGGATGGTTTGGATTAGAACACATTTCTGAGATACTCACTAGCAAAGGAAATTTTAATTTATTCATTAAAAGAAACACAAAGCATTAGAGAACCTTATAAGCAACCGTAAATATTAATGATTATTGTATATCTTATTCAAATGGCAAAAAGTCAAAAGTATGAATTACTTCAGGTGGAGAAAAAGTCTTTGGTCTCAGGTACCTGACAGACTCAGATAAAAGATAAAAGAGCCCCTCTCTGAGGAAGATGGATAGTTTAGAAATATGAAATATAAATAAATATAAAAATAAAAGGATAATCATCTGGTAAATCTAATACTAGGTCCCATGACTGGGAACTGCAAAAACAAAATTTCTCAGTTATGAAAGGCTACTAAAAATTCTAGCCAAACACACTATAGAAAATGGCTATAAATGTTGGTGAAAATGTGCAGAAATTCTGTAGAGGCACTTGCATAGAGCCCTTTTGTCCTCATCATGTTTTAAATCTTGTACAGAGGGTTAAATTGTTTTAGGATAGAATTAGATTCTTGTCTGCCACAGCAACAACACAGAGGACAGCAAGATAAAGAATATCATCTGGAGATGGAAGATTTCAATATAGTACTATATTCCCTCTATTTTATCACACTAATATTGTGTGTTATCCAAAAGGCTTTACTTGCTTGAGAAGAAACTTACCCGAATATGGAAGAATGTCCTCCATTTATGATATTCCCTAATAACAACCCCAACCTGGCGTTTCCAATACTTTCCTTCCATGATGACAGCCTAACAAATAAATAAAGATATAGAAGTTAAATAAAAATAAAAGTAAAGAAATAAAATCTGGTATTTATGGAATAGAATATTTATAGTTCAGTGTTGGAGTGTAGGGTCCATATTGCTCTCTGAGGTTGGTGATTTTCTTGCAGATGTTCCTTTACCAAACTAGGTAACATCATCACTGTACTGATGATGATGATGATGATGATGATGATGATGGTAATAGTAGTAGTAGTAATAATAATACTAATAATAATACTAATAATAATAATACTAATAATAATAATAATAATAATAATAATAATAATAATAATAATAATAATAATAATAATAATAATAATAATAATAATAATAATAATAATAATAATAATAATAGTGCCATAAACGCCTTACTCACTTCAGGCTTGCGATGCTGATCTATGTCACTACACTCTAGGGGAGTCACAAAACTGCACACAGGATTCTGCCTCTTCTCCACATCTGTGTACAAAATGAAACAGAAACAGAACTCTGAATGCAATTGCCACTTCAGAGGCAGACAAATGTATTTTTTGACTGACTGACTGACTGAAAGCTACCACAAATTGTACATTCACAAACAGGAAGACAATGTTCATGGGCTTTACAACCAGACAGAACAGACTATGTGATGTTCAGCAGTACATGCTATTACTTGCAGCTCATAATAGTGCACAGAAAATAGTCTTTCGCTACAGAATTCATCAAGAACATAGACTCCTTACGGAAAGAAGATGCCTTGGGAATAAACTTCTGAATTTACCCTGTTCCAGTACTCACACTGTAGATACCATGCCCTCCAAATAGCATTATTGAGCCGAATCTTGTCACGCTGCAGCAATTTCAGCCCCTTGAAGGTTTTCCATTTGGGAGATACAATTTTTCCACTAAAAATAAAAAAGAATCCAATGAAACTTCGGTAACATCTGGTATATCTGGATTAAAGAAACACTAAATAAGTCAAGCCAAAAATGATCAAGAAAGAAAAATGAACAGGAATACTAGCTCAAAGACTTGACAATATAGATACAAATATTCCTATATTGTGCCAATAAAAGGAGAAAATAAAAGAATTCAAAATAGAGTAATAAAATAAATGCAATTATTTATCTTTTTCAAAGACTGGCAAGGTTTCTTTGAAACTTAGTATCTGATCTCTGGTTTCCCTTCCCCATTAGATTTTAGGGCAAACTTAAGGAGATGGATGAACAGGCGCACAACAGCAGATTAATTCATGCAGAAAATATCCAGAGACAATTAACTGTAAGTAACTATGCTGGTCTCAAGATCAACTTTGTGACTATTGAATTAATCTTAAAACAACAATATATCATACACTTTTTTAAGCAAAATGCATAATACATTTTAGCCACTCTGTAAAATACCATATAGCTAATATAATAATTTGTATGTTTTTACCTCTATCTTATCTTAGCTAACTGCTATTGTAGAATTCCAGGTGTAACGTAGTGAGTAATGGATAAGTATTTCTAGCCATATATATTTGTTTTCGTAGATTTTCACGGGTACAGGTATGCAGGTCTTGGCGTATTCAGGTCTTTTCCAGTGTAAGATTGAGAGTATCTTGGCGACATTTCGACGAGGTCCCACTCGTCATCTTCAGGCTGGGGTCTTCGGCTTCGTGCTGGTGATGTCGTCATGGTTTGGCTTCTGGATGGTGGTTGCATTTCGTCTGAGGGATGGGTTTGGGCTTGGTTCTGGTGAGGGTGAATGGTGGTGGCGTACTGTGTTGTTCTGGGTCCGGTGTCAGTTTTCGTGGCTAGGACTCGTTTGTTGATTAGGGCTAGTTTCCAGATGTCTGGTAGGCGGGAGGTATCGTCACGTTTATTCATGTTGTGGGGGTGTTTTTCTATTTCGATGGCTTCCATAATTATTCTCTTGTGGTGTTCAGTTTTGGAGATTTAGTTTGGTTCCTTCAAAATCAATTTCATGTCCTGTAGCTTTAAGATGCTGGAAGAGGGAGGAAGTTTTTTCTTCTTTTTTGACTGCTTTCTTGTGTTCTGCAATGCGGGCATTTATTCTCCTATTAGTTTGTCCAATGTATGTGGCTGGGCAGATTTTGCATGGTATTTCATAGACTCCTTTACCATGCAAAATCTGCCCAATCACATACATTGGACAAACTAATAGGAGAATAAATGCCCGCATCGCAGAACACAAGAACGCAGTCAGAAAAGAAGAAAAAACTTCCTCCCTCTTCCAGCATCTTAAAGCTACAGGACATGAAATTGATTTTGAAGGAACCAAACTAAATCTCCAAAACTGAACACCACAACAAGAGAATAATTATGGAAGCCATCGAAATAGAAAAACACCCCCACAACATGAATAAACGTGACGATACCTCCCGCCTACCAGACATCTGGAAACTAGCCCTAATCAACAAACGAGTCCTAGCCACGAAAACTGACACCGGACCCAGAACAACACAGTACGCCACCACCATTCACNCCAGGCTGGGCCGCACCTTCGGCTTTCCCCGCCGCAGCCTTCCCCCCTAACGCCCCGGGTCCCCTGCCTCGCTCGGCCGCGCAGCTTTGCAGGCCTAAACGACCGGCTCGCTCGGCCGAGCTGATGGCCTCTTCGGAACCGAGATCTGGATCGGGGTCCGACTCGGCGTGGGGTTCCGAGACCATGAAGTGGCCACTGTGGATTATTTGGGAACGGGACATCGCTGCTGCTGCTCCGGCGGCGCTCTTCCTTGTCCGGCTCCACTGAGAACATCGCTAGCGAGCCCGGAGTAACGCTACGGTCACCATGGCAACAAAGGACACCCCCCCCCCCGAACCGGAACGGGGTAACTTCGGCTGCCAGAGCGCGGGGGAACGAAAGGAGAGGGGACCCTACCGAAGGACCGCCCGAAGTCGGGCCCCACCGCAGGCTCCCATAGCAACAAGGAAAGGGTATTCTGCGCATGTGTCCCTCAGTCGCAGAGCATGACGGTTATTGTAGTTGTTTCGACTTTCCTCCAGAGGGCATACCTCGCGTTCGTGCGGTGGGATCAAGTGACAACTTTAAACTTTTTAAAAAAATTATTAAACTTGTTATGCCTCAATTTAAAAAAAGTCTCTGCATTTTTAAGAGGAAGTGGGTTTAATGATGCAACGCTTGTACCCGAAATTAATAAAACACAGAAAGCCAGCTGGATAACTTTGGGCCAGTCAGTTTCAGCCTAATCCACCTCACAGGGCTGTTGTAGGGAAAATAGGTGTATTAGATATGTTAGCTGCCTAAATTCACACAAACACAATAACTTGACTACTGCATCTAGGTAACCAGTGAGATAATTCAAATGACCTGAATGATATTTGACATATAAATGACATCTTTCTCCTGTCCTGGCCATTTTTTACGAATAGCATCACTGCCTGGTTTGGTGGCAGCAGTGCCTCAGATAGAAGGTCCATACAGAAAGTGGTAAGGACAGCTGAGAAGATCATAGGAAGCTCGCTCCCTGGTATTCAGGATGCTGCTTATAAGCGCTACGTACTTAGAGCTCAAAGCGTTGTTAGCGACCCCACACACCCACTTCACGGTCTGTTTCTGTTGCTCCCCTCTGGGAGGTTTCTAAGTATTTCCAGCAGGACTACCAGATTTTGTAACAGCTTTCTTCCCTATGCCATCCATCTGGTAAACTTTCAAAATCATTTTTATCTCCATGTACATTTATATATCCGAACTAGACTGCATTGTTTCTCTGTGTCATAGAATATATGTGGGTATATGGCTATATGCATTTTTTTTTTCTTTTTTGTCATATTTATGTAGTGCAATTGGAGGTGGTGACCCCCAGAGAGCTGAATGCAACAACATTTCATTTTAATATGTCGATTAGTGTACATTTAAAGTGACTATAGACAATATTCTGTTCTGTTCTGTTCTGTTCTGTTCTTCTATTCTATTCTATTCTATGCTATGCTATGCTATCATTGGAATTGAAAATTGTCTCTACCCCACTGTAATGTAAATGGCAATTTACACTGCAGAACTATCATAAATCACACACTGTTAAACGCAAAAGTTTTCAAATGATGTGACTATGGAATAACAACTTTTAAAGCATTTAAAAATTATTAAATGTGATTTATATGAAATAAGAGCTGAATAGTAACAAATATATATTAACTAAATAATAAAGCACTGTATCAACTTATGCTTATTTTTGCTTCTGAATAAATGTCCTGGCACCATGCCTCGTCTGATTTCTGTGGGCAGCTAATGCTTTTACGTGGGAGAGTTTTGCTTGTGACTTCTACCAGAAAGTTCCCACTCCAGCAATGAAGCTGATTATTGTACAAATGTGTCTGTACTTATCAGTAGGCGTAAGGGCACAACCCAACAGTGAAGTCACAAGTTGCAAAACAAGATTCCAAAACAAGTTGCAATAATGGAGCACAGGTATTAAAATATTTACTTTTTTTTTCTTCCACAGATGTTTTAGTTCAGGGTCATTCATTACAGATACAATGAAATCAGTTCCTCCCTGAACTCATCACAAGTGATACTGAGTGAGATAAATGTATTAACAGATCCAGTTATTGTTAACTTTGATCGCATAGCAAATCAGGCCTGAACAACTTTGCTTCACTAATAAGCCTGAGCAAACTTAATCTCATTAACTGTTGTGAAGAACCCAATACTTGCTTCATGGTCTGTTAGTTGTGGGTTGCTTTTGTTGCTGTTTGTCCCATGGGTTGTGTTTTCACTTACAGGCTGGATTCTTGTAACATGCTCAAGAATTCTTGTAACTATGTTTTCTTGAACAAACCTATATTGTGAGATTTGAGATCACATATCAGGTGAAGCCAAACTAGACAAAACATGGTCTAGTATGAAGTATGAACACAGCCCCAGAAGAAAAAAATGAGAGCAACCCAGCTAGTTTTTGTCAATTCGCTAAGCCCCAGGAGTGGACAGCATTACCTTGAGGAAGAAAAGCTATTCTCTTTCCCTGTTACTTTGGTTAGGATTAGGAACAGAGATATGCTCCAAAAGAAGACATACAACCTGAGATTACCAAGTGGAAAATGAATGAACTTTATTTTCAGGCTGTGTGAAGCTGGCAATGGCACAGTAACTGTAAGTACACAAAAGTAAAAAGAGTAGTTCATTGCCCACTTGGATCACAGTGAGAGGATTCAGTCTTAAACCTTCTCTGCAAAACAACCTTTGGCCCATTTGGAGGCCTCATGTCTGACTACAATTTCCACTATTGTGCTGGGTGAGGATGACCAGAATTCCAGTCCATAAATCTGAAAAATATCAGCTTGGGGAAGAACAGAATATGAAGGCAGTCAAAGCAAATTAAAGGAACAAACAGCCCTGCCATTTGAAACTTAAAACCGTGACATCTTCAGGGCTCTTAGAACATCAGTAACACCTAAAAATGGGAGTAAACCCAAAAGCAACACTGGTCTTTTCCACACCCATGCTACCATTTCCTATAGAAAGGAGAAGAAATGCACTTGGAAAGCAGCTGTGGTCTCTTGAAGAGTAGAGAATTTCTCTCCCCTTAGGCAGTGTACAAAAAATGTATTTCCTCAGGCTGAATATCACAAATGTATCTTCAATCTTGGGATTCCATGAAATCCTTTGCTTACTGAGAGTAGAAAGGGGGAAAGGCAGAGAAAAGGTCTTCAGACTGAACTGGGGTCCATGTCAATACTGGCCTGGCGCACAACCTGTCGAGACCTGGAACATGGCAAGGAAGATGGCAATTGGAGCTTCTTGGAAATTTCAGGATTCATCTGTCCCTCAAACTCCTTGGTCCGACTCACCACCAGGGCAGCATCAGCCAGCTGAGCCACTGAGAGGCGGTGCTGCAAGGGGGGCCTGCGCCCACACGAGCCAGACCCTTCCATGTGCCGAACAGCTTTATGCACCTTGCCTGGTGCCGGGTGGTATGAGAGCTGTTTGCAAGGCTGAGCATGGACTTTGGAACCTCTGCTACGGCCCCTTCGCCCTGGCCTCTGTCCATGTGCCCGCTGGTCTCCTGGCAGAGACAATTTTGCTGTTACTGGCTTTTCATTTTCCTTACTTTGGGATGATGGTTCACAGATCTTCCTTTCAGCATGAAGAAACACCTGCTGAGAGAGGAAGAGTTCACTGATTTGCACATCACCAACTATATTGGATTCTCTTTTATTTACCTTGGCTTTACTTTGGCCATGTCATGCATGCAAATTCACTGGAAAAGTCAATGCTAGGAATGGTTAGTGGATCAAGAAGAAGGGGCAAGCAAAGAACTCACTGGCTTGATACCATCAAAGCTGATACAAAGATGAACATCCAACAACTGAAAGAAACTGTGCTTGACAGGACAGAATGGAGAGGACTTGCCTATAAAGTCACCAAGAGTAGGACATGATTGAATGGTTAAAACTGCTACTTCCTCCATCACTTAACTTCCACTTTCCATTGTACTTGGTTAACATCTCTATGTAACTGGATTGGAACAGTTATATTTTAGGGACAAAACATTGGGCAGCTACAGCTAAGGCTTGCATGCTTTTATTCTCTCTTAAAAGCATCTAGCTGAATAACTTTACACTTAAACTTTTTTAGGTCTGGCTGCCCCATCTCCATTCTTTTTGCTCTAATCCTTTCCCTGACCTGCTTTATTAGACTGATGCAACTCTCTGCCCCAGAAATGTCACCTACCTTCATTTATGCAGTGATTTGGGACTTTCAGGAATCTGGCATAGCAAATTATTATACACAACCCTTAATAAGAGAGGGTCTTTCATTAACTTAGATTCTAGTTCTGACAGTCCAATCTGTAGCAGAACCTAGGTCCTGTATTTCAGATTTTGGAAGATGAATTTAAATTTAATTCCTGACAAGGTGCTTGCTCAGTTGAGGTCATAGTCAGGTTTGCTTTGAATTGTGTCTTACTAGTTTTAATACAAAAGAGATTATACATTCCCCTTTTAGGAGGACACTACCCTTGGGGGGAAAAATGGACCCAGAAGATTTATATTTCAATATCAGTATCAACATTACAAGTAGCCCTTGGTTAATGATAATAATTAGGAATGGAAAGTCAGTTGCCATAGTTGTTAGGCACAAGGTCATATATGATTGCCGTTTGAAATCTCCAGCCAGCTTCCCCATTAACTTTTGTTTGTTGGAAGCCGGCAGTGAAGGTTGCAAATCGCAATCACAGGATCGTAGGGATGCTGTGGTGGCCACAACTTTGAGGATCAGCTGTAAGTCTCCTGATTCAGTGTTGTAACTTAAAAATGGTTGCTGAACCATCGGTCATTAACTGAGGACCACCTGTAGTGAACATCATCTTCTTAATAATACGTTTTTATTTATTGTTTTACCCTACTGTTTTTCAATGTAATTGTACTTCCTATTGTGAAGCACTTCAAGATTTTTTTTATTGGAAACCATTGTTATAAATAAATAAGCAAATAAATAAATAAGTAAATAAATAAATAAATAAATAAATATCCAAAGTCAGTTTTACTCCCTTCTTGCATTCTAGGTTGTATAACAGTCTCTTTTCTGCTCTCCATTCACTCCTGCTCAGGTACCTTTTCACGATTCCATACCTCTTCCTCAGGCGTGCTTCCTGTCACAGAGGTGTGTTCTGGGCTATCCATCTCACTGATGCTGCGCATAATTGCATAAAGGTTAATGCGTTCCCGTCGGAGCATGGCTGGCT